CTGTGATGTTCTTTTTCTCCAAATCAAATTGTATCGCCAACTGTCACGTACATAGTTTACAGCAGGTATAAAAGCTGCAGTGAAATGCTTACGCGCTAACTCCCTCAACATTACAGTACAACAACCAACATTAATAATAATCAAAAGTCAAATAAAAAATAACAGGTCATTGTGTGTAAGGGTTGAACGTGTAAGTCAGTGTGAATATTATCTACGGTGCAGATCTGTGCAGGGTAGCTTAGTGGGTAAGAGCGTTGTCTGTGCAGGGTTAGCTGTTCAGCAGTCTGATTGCCTGGTCGTAGAAGCTGTATTGGAGCCTGTTGGTCCGAGGCCCCGTGCTCTAATACCGCTTGCTAGTTGCCAGATGGTAACAGAGTGAACAGTCCGTGGCTCTGGTGACTGGAGTCCTTGACGATCTTCCGGGCCTTCCTCCGACACCGCCTGACGTAAATGGCGTCCCGGAGGGCAGGGAGCTCGCCCCCTGTGATGTATTGGGCCGTCCGCACCACCCTCTGTGGAGCCTTGCGGTTGACGGCGGTGCAGTTGCCATACCAGGCGGTGATACAGCTGGTCAAGATGCTCTCGATGGTGCAAGTGTAGAACTTCTTGAGGGTCCGATGATTCCCATGCCAGATTTCTTCAGTCGCCTGAGGTTGTCGGTGTGATTGGACCACATTGTCGGTGTGATTGGACCATGTCAAGTCCTCTGTGATGTACACACCAAGGAACTTGGTAGTCCACGATCAGCTCCTTGGTTATGCTGATGTTGAGGGAGAGGCTTTTTTCCTGGCACCACTCTGCCAGGGCTCTAACCTCCTTTATCCACCCCGCAGAATCCCATAGTGTCTTTGGTTTACAGGTGACAGGTTGGGGACACGACACGGTGTTGGTGGCAGACCCCTCTTTATGTGGTAAATGGGACATCACCAGCTGTCCAGGCTGGTACATCCAGGATCCTGCTTGGGAGCCATCTGTGCGTGTAACCCGCATCATTAGTGGGGGAGAGAGAGAGGGCAACCCCATGAATATTCCAACCTGTCACTCACTCCTGAAAGAAGCCCCCCCCCCCCCCCCCCCACCACTA